TGATGTATAGAATACGAATTACAAACTTGTAAGGCATGCAGAGGGTGAGAAATATATGGAACATTTTAACGCATGTTCACTGGGGGAAAAATCATATTCCACTGCTTTGCATGTTCTTGAAGTTTGTAACATTCATTCTGAAACAACTTACAACATAAAAATATATGCTTATATTTTATGAATAGTATTATGCGAAATACCTGTAAATAGTATTTGTAAGTAATCATTTAACACCAAAATTACATTAGGTATCCAAAGAGTTCAGCAGTTACACGAGGTACTTTTTATTTCGCCGATCAAATGCATGCACACACTGACTATGGTTCAAGGAAATTTCTCGAAAGGATTTATCCGTTTATTCTCGAAATGCTGTTAGTGTAGATGTTTTTTTATAGTATATTACCAATCTCTTTTACCATCACTCCGCATTCTTTGAATTCCCAAAGAAGGAAAACGAGAGATAGCATTCGGAGGGTGGGGAAAGAATTAACGTTGGCATACCAATGTCATGCCATGGGATAACACTATTGAGAGTCAACGGAGGACTCCAGAATAAAATAAAATAGTTCAAAGGTCAACGTTATAAATTTTAGAAATAATATTACATGTTTCGCAGTACGAGTACATTATAATCATTTTTTATAAAAGTGTATTAAAATATCTTCAGATTTTACGGTATGGCAATGACATAATTATATATTTTGGACATTTTCAGTTTCTACGGTCTTTCCATCAGGGACACAAATGGCAAGGACCTTTTTGCAAGATATAGCTCAACATTTACTAGTTTGATGCTAATACACAACTGTTATCTACATCGACAGGTACTAAAACTAGTAGCGCTACAGAATGGAACACATTTTCGTGTACTAGTTAGTTTCCTAATTTCTTTAGTATGAGCTAGCTTTTCAGTATCACTCCTCCCTTTATCAGCTGCTAAATATCGGTTTCTAAAATATATTTTTCATATTTTCTCAAATTTTTGCTGATTGTGGAGCTGAAATATTACTTGAAGAGTATTAAGAAGAGTAAAACCTGGACTACATGCGAGTTTTCATTTTAAAAAATGAGAGCAGTTTTTGAAGAAACGCCGTTTTAGGACGTGCTGTTCAACGCCTCTCAACGCCTTTACTTAAGGACGTCACCTACTCTGCCATAGGTTGCTATACTATCACGAATTCGAGCAATTTCTTTCGAAAATGCGAAGTTGTTTGGTGCACTGATTTGGGACATCAGCATCGTGTTCAATCTCCGCGACTAATTGGCGGAAGATAAATGCGACTTTTGCATCCTCCACCTGCAAGTTTTTCTTTAAAAATACGAACAACATTGAGAAAAAAACAACAGTGTAAGATTAAGAAAGTTCATCGGATTGTAAGGAAGGCCGTTATTTTCCAAGTATTAAAATCCGCCCCTGCTTCTTAGACGTGCTACAATGACACGAAAATGATTTACCGCAGAATCCAATTAGATCAATTTTTATCTGTTAGCATAAACTGAAAAGAAGGAAGTAAATTATGTGTAACGTTCTGTTATATTTTCAAAAAATGTATTTCTATAGCATTAAAAAAATTATTTAAGCTTTTCAACTCCCTAAAGAAAGTTATTTGCTTTTCTTAATTTGTACATTTACAGAACATTGTATACATACACATATTTTGTATTTTTCAATACATTAATTATTTTCATTAAAACAGTGGGTATTAATTACTCTGCATAACTGTAATTTCTCGAATTAATTTTATACTTTTATTTTACATTTTACCACAAATGCATAAACGTATTTCATACCTGTACTATTGGGTTGGCTAAGGAACATTTTACCATCTAATGGTAAAAATATCTTTATTTTCTTCTGTCCTTTAATTACATTTCCCTTTCCTCTTTGTATTCTGTACATTGCCATATTACATGATTTAGACTGTAGAAAGATTGTGTAGTGGTCTGACGCTAATGACACCCATTCCCCGAAATAGGATAAACGCAAGTTTTTTAAATGAATAGTTCACAATCAAATGATATTAATGCATCTTCAATTGAATTTAAATAGAATTTTATTTATTTAATTATGAATATAATTTTTTTAAATTTTTAATTTGAAAAATTATTCAGTTGTCAGATTATAGGAAACTACTTCAGGCCAGGCAATCCTCTTAGTATATAATATAATCCTCACAATATTTCTGTATGATATATAATTACTTCTACACAATTACAACTAACTTTTATCGAAAGATAATGAAATGAATTTGTTTTATTCACAAATGAAAAAATCTTCCAAGAGGAAAACGTGTAATATTTTTAGCCGAACCTGGACAGTGGCAGGGGAATCCCGTCTCTTTAATATTTAAAACAAACTCAGAGAACTCGACCGTAACTGTGGACGTCGTAGAACAGTCTCCTTGAGGATTCAGAGGGCAGCAACAACTCTACACGTCCGTGCTTCCTGTCGCAATGGGTGCATCGTAAAATGCAAGTCGGGCTCACAGGCGACTCTGTGCATAGCCCGCGGTAGCGTGCTCGAAGCCATCCATGACCCGCCCGTTGAGTCACGGCGGAGTTGTAACCACAACGGAGAAATGGCAAGGGTTACCGGTGGCTGTTACGACAAGCAGAGGAGCGTGCGAGGAGAAAAGTTGGGAAATTGAATAAGTTTGTGGCAGAATGACGAAATATAATATTTATGTTCTTCAAATTGACTAATTTGCAATTCAGTGGGTTCGAAAACTCGAATCTATTTTTAGTTCATATTCCTTTGTAAGTTAGAAAATGTACAAAACAACTGTTCCGTGCGATAAAATTTCAAGGAACCGAGCCTAAAAGAAAATTTGCAGGTAAGTATATTTCAGGCATGCTCGCAAACATAAATGTTATCTTTTTGTTCTTAGATGAAGCATCAAAGAGATAAATTTTGGGGACTTTATTGCAATTTTTTTTCTTTTGATTAATTAATTCCTTCACTTATGAAAGACTCTATGGCACAGAAATATTAAGCAGCATTTAACTCTGCATTCATTGTGCGACTGTTATAGTGAAAGTTAAATTAAAAATTAGATGAACATTTATTTTATCACATTTGCTTTCCGTTAATATCTCAAGTTCCTTGAAGCCGTCTTATTGTTTTAGCCATCTGGAAACAGACATATTCCAACAATAGCTTTAGGCCTAACATGTACTCTTATTAGCTGCTGAATTACCCATAGGAATCGTGGGGTTGGTAGCTGCTGGCAAATGTTGCTACAGAAAGAGAATCTAGTGATGATTCCTCAGCACATCCTTTTTCTTATCTCACTATTGGGGATTTGAGATGCTTTGGTGAAAATTACTTGAAGTGCTACATGCAAACACAATTAATACAGATAAATAAACTGGACGTGTCTGAATGTGCTTTTCCAATTTTCAACTTTTAAATATTTTTTCAACTCTCTTATTCAATTTCTAAAACTATGTCATGTCAAATCAATTGTTATATTTCTGTGCATCTGTATTTAAGCAAACTAAGAAGTAACTTCATTTTTCTTTTGCCGTAGTATCCATAAAGGTTCCGAACATGATTACTTTTCGCTCTTACGAAGTTTTTTGCCACACGGCGCTTTGTGGCGTAGTGATATCTGTGTCAGCAAGTTAACTCTAAGGATATAAGTTCGGGTCTTGGAGTGGAAAAAAATGCTGGTTGAAAACCCTTTCTCAAGTTGTTGAAGTATTATTAGATTTCATAGTATGTATTTAGAAATACTTCGAAAATGTATGTGGTATGGGAGTACACTAGTAAAAAATTGCACAAATGTATTTTTTTGAAATATCTCTCACGCAATTATTATGCACATTTCCAGCAATTTGTTTATATTATTGCATTTGTGAGTGAATGTACTTCAAATTACTTCAAATGAACTTTTTCGAGAACTCAGAAGTTTTCAGTGAAAAAGAACGGCAATTTTCGCATTTACAGAAACGCTCAAACGACAGTTTCTCTAAAACGGCTGCAAATTTTTCGACGAAAATTAGAAGAACGAGGTTTTTCTCTTCTATAATATTCTTAAGGGAAGACAGGGTCAAATTATCGATTTTCATTGTTTTGCTAAATAAATAGTTCAAAACTTGCTCTTTCCAAATACATTAACATTTTTTGGTGGGATGCCTGGAAGTTCCTTTAATTCTTGTTTAAATGTCTAGGTGCCCATGAACCACGCCCCCTTTTTTGACACTGCATAAAATTAGGGCTATTCTTTCGAAATTTTGTATGCATGTTGGTTTATTAATGAGTTATTGAAATATGCTCTTGTTCATACGTGGGTAGCATTGGTCTGTTTTGCAGAAGGAGATGATCCACAATACGGAGCAGGAATTTTCTAGTACAGCAGTGGCAAGTACAGACTACAAACGGCGTTTGCCGAAAAGGTACTTATTTTGTAATTAATCTTTTCTCACAAACTGTCATTCATGATTTATTAAAATTTACAGGATAAATTCTTCATAGTATTGGCAATAAATTTAAATTTTTATATAAACGTTCTTGAATAAGTACACATATAAAACAATAATGTTTGTTCAAAAATTGCAAAAGTTGTAACTGAAAAAACACTCATTATATTTTAATAAACTCAAAAAATGTCATAATAATAGGAAAAACTTTGCTTTTAAGTGTGCGAAATATCAAAATTTTCTAATTAAACATTATCTGAGAAAGGTACATTAATAATAGCAAATTTTACTTGGGCAGTATACATGGTACCCTCTTCTCTTAAAGTCATTTTCCTGTTCTAACCTTATCAGACCTAAAAATTCAGAAAAAGTGAAAACAATGTACTTTGGGCGGCGATAGATGGCAGCTGGGAAGAGAATGGGGCCACTCCGATAAGCTAGCTTAGACCAAAGGAATTAGAAAAATAGTTCGAGAATGTCTGTGCCATTCTGTAGCACCACTAGTTTTCATGTATGTGGAACGGCACAGACCGGAAATCACTTTACTTTGAAGCAGGTAGTCCCGCAAGAAATCTTACCTCCAGCGACAAAATGGCGTTGCTGATCCTCTCGTAGATCGAAAATGGTATGTTCTTTTTCCACCCCTACATATAAAGCTTGGATTGATGAAAAATTTTGTCAAAGCTCTGAACCAAGAAAGACAGTCCTTTAGATACTTAAGAGAAAAATTGTCTATGTCAAATGGTGCAAAAGATAAGGGAGGTATTTGTGTTGGACCACAAATGCGACAATTTGAGAAGGATCTTACGTTTAACAGAGTTTTGAAAGGCAAAGAAAACGAATCTTGGGAAGCATTTAAGGGAGTTATTCATGTATTTTTAGACAACAAAATATATGATAATAGCACTCAAATACTTCTATAAAAATACCATGAACTCGGATGCATTATGACCCTTACAATCCATTTTCTTCTCTCCTCTTATGTAACTGTCATTTAAAAATAATCAAGCAAACGTTCAATGTTGTTGGCGTATATTATTCAAATCTATAATTTTCTCTTAATCTGTTAAAATAAAATATCTCCATCGAGTGAATATCACAGAAACAAGAGATAACAAAGATTTTTCTATATCATATTCGTTTCTCTCAACCCTGAAATTAGTAATATATGACTTACAAAGTGAAGAAAACATTCAAGTTTTTTTGTTGGCCAGTGATATCAAATACCAAATACTTCACGACCCCCAAAGTTCAGTCTTGTGACCCTACAAAATCAATTGAAGAAACTTCGCAATCCGTAGCGACGGTGTCACAATAGCCCCCAAGTATCATGTAGTACTCAGACCTTTAGATAGCAAAAGAAAATTATTCGAATAATGAAAAAAATTCCATTTGCGTTACCCTTGCAAGCCTCTCTTCATTGAGCTTGGAATCTTACCACTGCCTTGCATATATATTTACGAATCTGTAAT